ATCGCTACTAGGAGCAAGATCGCTACTAGGGGCTCCTGGCCTGACTATTAACCATGTACTATTTTTTAGCCCTCTCTGCCCCCTACTACTTAATTAGGTAGGCGCCATTTCAGGAAGTAAGGGGTAAGTTAGCTTCTAGGTAGGATGCAAGGATAGATCATGCTTCTTCAAGGAAACTTCCCGTGCCTGAGGGCGGGGGGGAGCTTCCTTGAAGAAGGCTCGCACTCTTCATTTGGTTCCTAGATTTTTTGAGGGAACTTACCGTTCTTGATGAATAGAGTATATAAAAGCATACCGGCTTAATTACTTACCTGAGCCGTATTATGCTTTTCTAGGATTCGAGTCGGAAGCCAAATGTTCTTTTCAAAATCTGTGATTTTTGCTCCTAATTCTTCCTGATATTTTTCCTGTTTGTTTCCTCCAGTTTGAAACTTTTGGCCGTGTTTTGTCCTGTGACAGGAGCTGATCTACGTCTTCCGAGCAAAGCTCACCACAGAGTCCCATTCTATTCCCAACCAGGCAAACTATTCACAAAACCAAGCAATTCACAACCGCTTGGCTTGTGGGAATCTTTCTCTATCTCTCAGCTGTAGGCAGTAGAAATCATGCGCACCGGGATCGAGGTGGGGACATACATTTGCAATGCAATGTCTTGGATGCTCTCTGAATCAGCTTTTGGTAGTTTTCTCTGCCACTTCAGTGGAGGCCATTGCTCTTAGGTTGGAGGCCATTGCTACTAGGGTGAAGGCCATCGCTACTAAGGTGGAGGCCATCGCTCTTAGGTTGGAGTACTAGGGTGGAGGCCATAGCTCTTAGGGTGGAGGCCATCAGTGAAAACGTCAGGTTGAGTGGGTGCAGAATCCTGCTGCTACGACCAATGATGAGCAATCAGCGCTTGGGCCTCAGCACCATTGGCATGGACAACGAAGACTTGATTGTGATGATATTGGATGAATTTCTTCCAGATGTTCAACAAGAAAGTATGCTTCCAAACCACAGACGCTGCTGAGAGAACACACATAGAATTTGCTTGGTTCCCTTTGATAAGGCGTTCTCATTCAAGGAACCCAAACACCTTCTTCTTTTCCTTCTCTTTTTTGAACACACTGAATTGTCAATTTTTTTTACTTATTTTCTATCTTTTTTACCTCTCTTCTATTGGCTTTGCTAGTTCGTTCTGCGAGGTTTGCCCGAGCAGAGGAAGCCTCGGAGGAAGCCTTGTCTCGCGGAGCCAAGTTGGTGAGGAAGCCCAGTGGCCAAAGCAAGGTGAATTGATGGCCGGTCATTCCGAGAGGTGTCTGACTGTGTGAAGTCTCTTTGAATGCTTTAAGATGCTTGTCACTAGTAATTTCTTGCTACTAGTAGCGATGCCCTTGTTACTAATAGCGATGCACTTGTTACTAGTAGCTTCTAACCATGTGAAGAACGCAGGAAAAGTTAACACGTCGACTCAAAAGCTTTTCCACCAAGCGACCTTTCAACCTTGTGTGCAGATTGACAGCAGCCCTAGTAGCGTCCTTGCTCCTAGTAGTAAGGCCAGGAGCCCCTAGTAGCGTCCTTGTCTGTCCAAATGGACAAGTAACGCTGTTTTAATCACCAGATGAATGGCCGTTCCAAGAATGGGTTTTTGTTGTCGCGTTGAGGTCTTGCCTTTAGCTGCATGTGATTTGATGAATGTGACCTTCTTCTTGGTCTTGACCTTAGGAAAGTAGCAATCAACACTGCTGTAGTTGCTACATGTTTCAGCCTATTGTTGCTACATGCCTAATATGAAGTTTCCTTAAAAGTCTAGGAACCAAATGAATAGGTGCAAGCGCTTCTTCAAGGAAGCTCCCACCCGCCCTCAGGCGTGAGCAGCTTCCTTGAAGAAGCGTGAGCTATCCTGCGTCCTAAGTAGTAGCTACTTAAGCTACTAGCTACCTCTCCCTTACTTAATTAAGTAGGGGAGGGGGGGAGCGCGTGCTACAAAACAGAAATACTGTTTCAGCCAGAACATGCAGAGACTATTTGGGGCATTTTGCTGGCTTTTCTTTGCGCAGATGTGCAACCGCAGCAAAGTGATTCCAGCGAGGGTCTTAGCATGGCACCATCGACTGGGAAGGACAGAAACAGGTTGGCCCTACAATGATTTCTCCTCCCAAGTGTCATAGCATTCATTTTTTTTTGGACTTAGCCTGCTAAAACTTGAGACGGAAGCCGCTTCACTGACGTGACAGTGAAAGGATGGAAGATCATTTTTGTTGCTCGCCGGCTTGTCTTTGCTGTTGGAACGAACGATGCACAAGTCGACAGCCCCTCGCCCACCTTCTCGAGGCCAGGCCAAGTGCTTTGATTCAGCCATGGGCCTAGCACGACGACAAGACTTTTCAACAAACATAGAATAAAGTCAAGTGAAAAGAAAGACCGAAAGGAACACAGAAAGTTCTAGAAGTGAAACTAAAGAGCCTCTAAAGATCTAAATCAAGTATGTGAATGGAGCCCTTCTGCGCCCAGTCTCCAGATACTTAAGCTATGACAGCCAGCCTTTTTGCCACCTCCCCTTCGGCCTACCTGGTATACCTTGCCCTAAAAGCAACAAAGCACTTTGTGAGGATGTTCGGATGCAATAAACAGAAGGATTCTTAGGATTAGGCCTCTACTGCTAAATCCTCATGCAAAAGTGCTCCCACCTGCCAGGCAGCTTTAACAAAACCAAAATACACGGTACCTGAAATTGTGCAAGCGAAGTGGCTAGCTCCCTAGAGGCAGCAGAACACAATTTAGTGTAAAGTTCCTGCGGCAAACTGCGGAACTCAATGTGAGAAAAGCTCTGAAACACCCTTGGCAGCCTGGTCAGCAAACTGCTTGTGAAGGCACAGTTTTCAACGGGAAAAACACAGCTGCAGAGTGAAACTCGGTGAAGCTGGCTTGAGGCAAGACTCCGTTGATGCCGTAAGTGCACATGAGCTAAATGGAATGAGAGAGATGCGCCGGGTGCCCAAGGTATCACAAGGTTCTTCAAGTGGCGTTTTCACACTAGAATTGAAACTTTGTCTGAAGTTTGGTGCAGTGATCATATTTACAACACATAAATATTATACAGTCTTGGAAAGTAGAACTAAGTTTAAACATATTAGTCATATCCAAGATAAAAGAAAACAAATAAATGGTTTTCCGTCTTTTATTTTTCAAGTTTGTTGGGTCGTCCAGTTTTTTGGGACTTTTTGCTTCATGCTCTCGGTGCTCCTGTCATGATGATAAACAAGAAGCATTTGATTAGAAAAGAAAACAACAAGAAAAGATGCATTTCTTTTGCATAGTGTTTTTTTCATTTTCTTTTGAAAAAACAACAAACTAATGTTTGAATCGGTGCGTTTCGCCCAGAGCAATCTTCTTTTGTTCTCTCTTTTTCGGCTCAAAGCGACATCCCACAGACCGACGAGAGGTGGGCGACCGACGGCGCGACCGACGGCGACCGACCCCCTTCAGCTCCATGTGTGAACGGTGCCAAGTTGGTAGAGGGGATTTTGCAAGAAAGAAACTCCAAGGAAACTTGAAGGAACCAAGCTAGCGATGGCCTTTGTTTGATCTTAGTGTTCACTTCATGCGAGAAGTTCGAAGCCTCAGGTTGGAAGCATTTGCACAGCCTCCATGCTCTGTCAGGTTTCCACTTTCTCATGCTGCGACCCGCGCTTCTGCGGAGGCAAGCTACTCTTGTAAGAACTCCTGTGCTTTTGGTAGCACTTCACCTCTCAATTAAACACAGCCTCTAAGTCTATGTGGAAGCGAGGATAACTCAGTTGTGAAACACTGAGATTTGGTTGAGCAGTCAGAAAGAACAATGCCACATTGCCCGAGTCGCCAGGTTGCCCAAGTTCCAATGTCTTTTGCCAGCGCGGCAGGCGAACACCTGTAGAGTGTTGCTCTAGCTCTGTCTTTTGTAATCAGCTTTGCTTCTTGCCGATTTCAATTTCTGTTGCAGATGCACACAACACACTCTTGTCTTGATTCCGCCTGGTGCTACCATGAAACACAGTGCGCTGGTGTTATCCTTTGTTGCTCTCGACTGGGGACAGATTCATTTCTGGTGAGGTCAGGCGTGGACAGCGAAGCCTTCGACACTTCAGTGCTGCGCGGGAGTCGATGGAGCACCTCAGATGAGCACAAAACGTTGCGAATGCAAAGGAGAGTTGTAGAGTCTGGAGATTTTAGAGACGTATATATAAATACTGCGAGGGGCCATGCTTTGGAAGCTGGAAATTAATAGTTTTCGTG